AACATGCTAGTAACTTGCTAATCATGCTAACATCATGCTAGTAACTTGCTAATCATGATAGAAACATGCTAACAACATGCTAGTAACATGATAATCATGCTAGAAACGTGCTAGTAACTTGCTAATTATGTTAACAAAGTGATAACACCATTTTATTAACGTGCTAATCATGCTAGAAACATGCTAGCAACTTGTTAAACATGTTAGAAACATGCTAGCATCATGCTAGTAACAAGCTAATCATGCTAAAATCATGCTAGCAACATGCCAGTAACTTGCTAATCATGTAAACAACATGCTGGTAACTTGCTAATCATGCTAACAACATGCTAGTAACACCCTAGCAACCACCCTGAGTACCCTAGCAACCACATAGCAACACCCTAGCAACCACTCTGGGTACCCTAGCAACCACATAGCAACACCCTAGCAACAGCCTGGTACCATAGCAACCACATAGTAACACCCTAGCAACCACCTTGAGTACTGTAGCAAACGCATAGCAACACCCTAGCAACAGCCTGGGTACCATAGCAACCACATAGTAACACCCTAGCAACCACCCGAAGTACCTTAGCAACCGCATAGCAACACCCTAGCAACCACCCCAGGTAGCCTAGCAACCACCTAGCAACACCTCAGCTACCCTAGCAACCGCACAGTAACTCCCTAGCAACCACCCTGGGTACCTTAGCAACCGCATAGCAACACCTTAGCAATGGCCCTGGGTACCTTCGCAACTGCATAGTAACACCTTAGCACCCACCCCAGGTAGCCTAGCAACCGCATAGCAACACCCTAGCCACCACTTTGGGTACCCTAGCAACCGCATAGCAACACCTTAGCAACCACCCCAGCTACCCTAGTAACCACATAGCAACAACCTAACAACCACACTGAACACCCTAGCAACCGCATAGCAGCACCCTAGCAACCAGCCCGGGCACCTAAGCAACTGCAGAGCAACAGCCTAGCACCCACCCCAAGTACCCTAGCAACCACATAGCAATACCTTAGCAACTACCCCATGTAACCTAGAAACACCCTAGCAACCACCTTGAGTACCCTAGCGATCTGCTTTTCTATGTCTGTTCTTCTAATAGACTGTATTGCCTTCAAAACATTCCAACTTTAATCTTTAAAACTATTTTAAGTATTTCAAACTACTTCAAACTGAAAACCTTCAAACTGAAAGCTTTTAAAAATTTCACAAACTTTGTGCCTTGGCTTTTTCAAGCCAACTTAAAGTTTGTCTACGAACTTGACTATCTAGTTGTTATTGTATTTGGCTGTATACTTTAACCATATTTCAAAGACAACAGAGGTAATTATGATTTTACATTTAAAAATGTACTCAAGTCCTACTTAAGTGGGTCAAAAACACTCTAAAGCTCTACTAATTGTATTTATAAATTTAAACTATAAAAAGTTTTCACTTAATTTCATTTCATATGCAGAAAACATACATGTATATTCTTTTAACATATATTATTTCCATAATAAGTACTCTTTTTAAAAGTATGCTAAAGTGTACTTCTTTTTCACAACTGTTTTACATTCCTTCCAAAAAGGAACAGTGAGAATAGAAAAATAACTTCTGTTTTATTTGTTTATAAAGTTCACGGTGAATAAATAATTTTGTGTCTGTATATAAAGTTTGCATGACAAGTGACAAGAACAAAAAGCAGACAATTAAATGGTTAACAATAATCAGCTAAATGAAATTGCTTGATTTTTCAGTACAAACCCAATACTACTCAATGTGGTGTATCGCAGAGCGTCTGCTTCAGTGTAAGTGTACTGCAGTGGTGCTTCGGGTCTGTAACCCTGTCAGAAATACATCACTGCCGACTGAAATACTTACTCACACAAAAACTATCATTACGGCATCTAGGGGTATTGATCCGAAGCTCTGCTGAACTCCAGCTCGGTGCGTATGACATTTATGGTGGTCTGGATGCTGACTTCACTCATGGCTTTGCCTGTAAATGCTGCCATTGTGCGATCTGTCTGGGCGGCAGGAGTAAATGGATCTCCGGTATGTCCTGAAGCTCTACTATAAGCTTTTAAGAGTGATAAGGCAATGACCCGCTGACATGGGCCTCTTAAATAAAGCCATCAGCTGTACTCTCCTGCCTCTGGATCTGTGGGGCAGCTTATTTCTACCCAACAATAACACTCAAACAAAAGCCATGCCCCGTCACACGGCCTCTCTGTTCTTTACTGCACATTTGGGCGAGTGAGCAGCCTGGGGTGAAATGACCAAGACTCAGATCACTGCTGCCCTAATGCACCGGTCCTTCATCACCAAAGCACTCTCTTCCTCTTCCTTTGCTTTAAGCACTGATCGCACAAGTGCTGTGTTAGCTTCAGATGACCTGTCCGCATGACAGAAATACCAATGAATGTCAAAAACACAAATATCTCTGTCAATAACAAATAACTCGGGCACGATCTGCAGTACAGATGCTAAACACTGCAGCTGAAATAACTATAGCACTGGGGAATAAGCACATTATGTTCTGCTGCCGCACTACAATTTTTATTTGCCCTGTCAACATTTCCAACACACACACACACAAAAAATTTTTTTTTTGTTTTTATTAAACATTTTTAATAAATCATTTATACCAAGCTTTTTTTTTTCCCATAATATTTTTTACTTTCTATTTTTGAAAACTCTGCGACAGCTATAACTGCATAAACACTGGAATTACATTATAAATGTATTATAAATGTGGAATTACATTACATGACTATAAAACATAAAAATAAGTACAATGTACTTATTGTGCTCATATTGTTTTACAAAACACTTTTGCTGTTATTGAGGTGGGATACATTTAAGGTTAGGG